TCTTTAAGTATCTCCCCTCTACCCCCATCGCCAACAAAGCCCTCACCCTCTCCATCACCACCAAACCCCCTCCTAACCCTCTCTTCCACCGAAATACACCACAACACCGACCGAACTCCACCATCTCCCCCTCTCCACCACTCCCTCATTAACACCAAGCAAGCCTCGACCCCCGAGCTATCAACACAGTGCCATCCACTTACCCATCACTGTCATGTCATCCGCCAGGTACCATCCATGTGCCCTGTCATGTCATCCACACCTCCGTCCTTGCCCCCCCCCACACACACACCCCACCTCCCTGAACTTTCTAAGAAAGATGAAGCTTTTTCTTTTGAACTTCACAAAACTTACATTTAAGATTCAGTTTATAAATTTCTGTAAAAAAAAAAACACATGGAAATAATTCACATTTCGTAACCTGCAATTGGCAGAGGCAATTAGTGCCTGTTGACTTCATGACAGCTGTTTGTCGCTACACGGTAGTGTCGTGTAACTGTCTGCCTGTCTGTCTGTCTCTGTCTGTCTGCCTGTCTGTCTCATAGCGCTCTCGCCCCATCTTGGAGCTAAATAATTAGATAATTTGGGTAGTGGTGAGTGTGAGAGGCTAGAGATGAGTACACAGACGTGAGTGACAGATTCCAAACTGACGCGTTATGGAATAAGCTCGTGTACTCTAGCACCTCTGCCCCCCCCCCCCCCTTTCCCCAGGTAATTGGGTAATTAGGAACCGGATTACCTGGGGATCTATAGGCCTACTGTTATGACTAAACACACGAATGTTAAGGACAAAACTCACTCGCTAATGACAACCAATCAGGAAAAAGGTCATACTACGAATACTACTCTATGCAATCGACTTGAGAATAGTCCACGACGGACCGAAACGTCGTCGTCCCTTCACCTTCTAGTGTGTGGTCTGGTCAACATACTACGAATGGCCACATCTGGAAGCACGAAGATGGTGGTGGTAGAGAGGTCATTTACAACCACCCACTAACTACCATACCTACCGGGGGAGGGAACGACCCATGCTCCAACACCTGGCCTGGAGAAAACGGGAGAGATAAACACTGTAGTAAGAGGAACGAGATCCAAAAGCTTCATGCTTGGGGATTTTACACACGGAAATAGACTGCATAGCGGAGGAGCCCCCAGAGAGGAGCTCCCTCAGGGAGGAGCCCCCAGGGAGGAGCCCCCCCAGGAAGGAGCCCCCAGGGAGGAGCCCTCAGGGAGGAGCTCTCAGGGAGAAACAGTGGAAGAGCACCACGGATGTGATGAAACATGGAGAGCAAACCTCGTGGACGCAGCAAACAAAAACATCTTGACCCAACATATCAGAGCCAACAAGAGGAAGGGAAGAAGCCCCACCACCACCAACAACAACAAGATAGATACTATAGAGAGAGAGAGAGAGAGAGAGAGAGAGAGAGAGAGAGAGAGAGAGAGAGAGAGAGAGAGAGAGAGAGAGAGAGAAAGAGAGTTGCTGTTAGGAGCCAGCCGCCACTGCGGTGTGCTGGAGAACACAGTGAAGCTACAGGTGGAGTTAGATCAAGAAAACAAGCTTGAAAAAATGAGAATTAGACATCACTGAGATCTAATCCAATTAGAGGAATTAGACATCAATGAGATAATGGAATTAATAACCCGGAAATGTAGAGATGCCACAAGACAGTTGATCCCACTCAAGAAGGAACTGGACAAGAAAGGCAAAAAGACCCTTATTCAATAAACAACAGAGGGAAGAGGAAAACTGTTTCAAACAACATTAAAAAATCAAAACAAGAGATAACGTGACACGGATGACAAGAGAAGAATCACTAAGACGTGCCGGTAAGAAGGGAAGCTGAGAGAGAGATGTGAAGCAGTTATGGAAACATCTTACCAGAATACCGATTGCCAATATAAGAGTGGGAAAAACAAATCCACAAGGGCCGTGACGAGGATTCGAATCTACGTCCGAGCTATGACATGGTCAAAAAAGAATTGAAACCAGAAGCTCAACTAAACGTACTTGGATCCTGCAGCCTCTCCGAGACATAAATCAACCCTTGTGGATTTGTTCATTGATGCATCAGGCTATTGTGATTTCTGTGTGTAAGAATAGAAAGCCTTGCCGGAAGCACAAACCCTTAATGACAGTAACCTATGAATTGTTTACAGTCGTTACCCAAACCATTAACTCTGTCCACTGCCATGTACCAAGCACCACGTGTCTTCCATTACTAATTCTACCACATATATAATGCACAATTACCATAGTATGTCATGGATTTTCTTTTTGGTATATCTATAGTATATATTGGTTATAGAAAATCTCTCCTGCCGACAGGGGTAACTCCACGAGTATTTATTTAGTAAAATTAATGACATAGCTGAGTGACTAAGGCAGAGCAGTTGCAACCAATCACAAACTTTATTAAAATACTCCTGCTGTAATTGGCTGTCACGTCCCCAGCTGCAACCAATCAGGGTCGCCCGAGTATAGTTGTGTCTTCCCCCCCTCGGCAGTTCTCTGAAGCGGCGCTTCGTCTCTAATAATACATGATGGGGGCATGACAAGGTCTTCCCACTTGCCTGCTTCAGCTACCAGCTTCTGTGCTTCAGCTTCTGTGCTTCAGCTTATAGCTTGCATGCCTCAGCTTACATTCTTCAACTTTCAGCTCACACGCTTCATATAATACACCAAAAACACATTTTTAACTTTCAAAATGTTTACCAATTTTTCCCAGGAAGATAATGTATGATGGTAAGTCGGCTGCCTGAGGGTCAAGCTCTGTACTGTGTCACCCTTAGTCGCCATTACTCTGTGGGCTTGGTTCCTTGCTATCCTAACTACGGGCTCACCATAGCCCGTGCTACTTGGAACGTTTTTGTTCCGAGTAGCGAATCTTAAACAACAACAACAACAACCTTGCTATCCTCTGGTCTTCCTAATATCTCTCTTCACTTCTCTTTTATCTATTTTCTTTCTTATTATTTTTTATTCGGCAACCCTTTGGCAGATTTAATTTCAGTTCTTGTAATTTTTCTTAATTTTTTTAAAATTTCGTCAATATTTTATTAATATTGATTTTATTTCTTTTTTATTTATCTCATATTTGACCTATTTCGCTCTCTCTTTAGTTAGATTTTCTTGCTAATGGCTTCCTTTGTGCGTGGCCCCCCTCTCCCTCACCATCCAAGCCTGCCAGTGGCCCCCCTCTCCCTCACCATCCAAGCCTGCCAGTGGCTCTCCCTCACCATCATTTCTGCCCTGTCTGCCTTTTCAGAATTCCCTTCCTACATTTTTCAGTTATTCACCCCTTTCAATTTTGTCAAGATTTTGTCTTCACCCCGTTTCCAGAGAGAGAGAGAGAGAGAGAGAGAGAGAGAGAGAGAGAGAGAGAGAGAGAGAGACAGAGACAGAGACAGAGACAGAGACAGAGACAGAGAGACAGAGACAGAGACAGAGACAGAGACAGAGACAGAGACAGAGAGAGAGAGAGAGAGAGAGAGAGAGAGAGAGAGAGAGAGAGAGAGAGAGAGAGAGAGACAGAGACAGAGACAGAGACAGAGAGAGACAGAGACAGAGACAGAGACAGAGACAGAGACAGAGACAGAGACAGAGACAGAGACAGAGACAGAGAGAGAGAGAGAGAGAGAGAGAGAGAGAGAGAGAGAGAGAGACAGAGACAGAGAGAGGGGGGGGGGAGACCCACCCTTCCTCTACCCCCGACCAATCCTCAACTCATTTGCATTTCAAATGAGCATAATCTCATAACTGCAAGTCTTGTCTCCCACTAACTACAGCTGCTTAACGATAGTTTGCCTCAGGATGGCAATTACGACATTGTATTGTGCCTCAGATGTAGTGACTGGGTGGGGGGTGGGGGGGGGAGCATACACAATACTTAGGGGGTGGGGGGAGATTGACAGAGAGTGGAAATAGATGAAATGTTCACAGGGAATACCAATAGAACGAGGGGACATGAGGTGGAAGCTGGAAACTCAGATAAGTCATAGAGATGTTAGGATGTTTTCTTTTGGGAAATGAAATGAACTAAAGGAAGCACATTGTGGAAGCAAAGACTATTCATAACTTTAAAACTAAATATGACAGAGAAGAAGAACAGGAGTCATTGCTTTAAACAACCGAAGGCAAGAAAGACGGGATCCAAGAGCCCACGCTCGATCCTGCAGGCACAAATAGGCGAGTACACCGTCCGCCGTCCATGTGACAGCGGACGCCATATGGCCACCCTTCCACGTGACAGAACACGTGCTGGTGGGACAGGCGAGACGGGGCAACGCGACGGAACTAGCGAACACTAAGACGGCAGAGACACTCATGGAATATTAAGACAAGGAGTTGAGCCGGAAAATTGAGCCCCTACCGCATGGGTGAATATTAGATTTAGACGAGGCTATCCTCCTGAACACAAACTACTCTCAAATTTGAACATATTAGCACGAATAGTGCCACGATATCACCACTAGCACGTGGCACTCCTGGCTATCGTACCCTGAGGGGCCATCTCACCATCGGAGAGTAGACACGCCAAAACCACTTTTGCTCATCGGCTAAAATCAGGAATGCAGTGGTGGGGGTCAGTAAGAGTATTGAGCGGAGTTGATGTGGTGGTGGTGGTCCAGAGCGCCTCTCTGCCACACTGCGGACACATCCACTCTCCTCCCACTCTCACCAAAGCTTGTCTGGGCCTCTCCCTCCCTCCCTCTCACCCAGTCTCTCTCTCTCTCTTTGTCGGTGTTGTGTGTGCCCTCGACGCGGTCTAGTCTGCTTACCGTGAAGCCTCGTCTGTTGTGGCTCAAGGAAGGGGGGGTGGTGGAGACACAGTGACTGTGGTGGAGGGGCAGTGTTGTGGTGGTGGAGGGGCAGTGTTGTGGTGGTGTAGTGTTGTGGTGGAGGGGCAGTGTTGTGGTGTTGGAGGGGCAGTGTTGTGGTGGTGTAGTGTTGTGGTGGAGGGGCAGTGTTGTGGTGTTGGAGGGGCAGTGTTGTGGTGGTGTAGTGTTGTGGTGGTATGGTCTGCTGACAGTGATTGCTGTCACCACCCGTCGTCTGCTGACAAGTGCTGTCACCACTCGTGGTCTGCTGGTAGTGATAGTACTGCCACCAGGCGTCGTCTGCTGACAGTACTGTCACCACTCGTCGTCTGCTGACAGTGAGAGCAGAGACCTGAGGGACAAGCACAACGGATGACGTCTTAGCAGTGATGGTACAATAGTGTACCACGAGTGATCACAAAGATTACAGTACCATAATGCTGGCAGTACTGTAATATGGTGCCGTGTTTGGCTACGGTGCCCTGATTGAAGGCTCGCGCATGGTAGGTACAGTGCTAGCCATCCAGGCTGTTTAGACACTGGCTACGGTCGATTCAAGAGTGCCAGCTGGGTGACACTGGCACTAATATGCCCGGAGACTGAGGGACGGTCGCATATGGTGCCACCAGAGGCAGCCTGAGGTGGCAACAGTGTATCTTCGTCATGTCGTTCGTGACGTCACTCTGGATTCGCAGCTCACGAACGGGGGAGCTTTGTTTATGATGACGTCACACAATGCAGGTCTGTAGCTCAATACAGTAATAAAATTCCCTCACTTTCAATTTACTACTTTTTGTATTTTCTATATATTAAAACCAATATATTATAGATTACAAATAGTCTACATAATTGAAAGATTAAGATACATGTATATTAATTTTTTTTGGTTGTGAATTCCCAGTTTTCATTCGTTTTATTATTATTATTAATATTATTGAATAATTTAGATGCTATAGGGGAAAATACTATATCAAATGGTAAACGTAAATGGTCCCTACACTCTTTATTGTGTAAATACTTGAACATTTCAACATTTTTCAGCATTAACGTGGACTTAACCAATCTCTGGACCATTTTAAAATCTTATAGTGAGCGTCTTGTAGCGGAGTTCCTGTTCGTTGTGTGTCTCAATTATAAACATTATATATATATATATATATATATATATATATATATATATATATATATATATATATATATATATATATATATATATATATAATAATATATATATATGTACTCACCTCACCTAGTTGTGTTTGCGGGGATTGAGCTCTGGCTCTTTGGCACACACACACGTGTGTGTGTGTGCGCGCGTGTGTGTGTGCGCGCGTGTGTGTGTGTGTGTTAAAGAACACATACAACACAACAGGGTCCTGCACCATCTTTTCACCATCTAAACTGACCTGTTTTCTTTGCACTACTCAAGTTGTGATCCAACTTTAGAATACCCCATTTCCCCCTTGAACCATTCTCTAAGTGTCTACTGTGTCTCTCGTGAGGCACAGAATCAAAGACTTTGCTAAAGACAAGATACAGAATATCGCATTGATTTCTTCTCTCGCGTGCTTGACATATTGCAACGGAATGCGAGTACATTCGCTACACACGAATGACCCCTTAATAAAACCAAGCTGTGAATCCCTCGTTATTTTAAGCGCCTTAAAACTGTACACGAATGACCTGTGTGTTTATCAGTTCCAGCAATCAAGTGGTCATTAGCCTGTTCGTGATGAAGACAGCGTTCTTAACTCACGAGAGGTGAGTCCGTGCTCGACACGAATGATTTATTAAACATGAAAGACAAAGACTCACCTGAACTGTTTTTACATTCTCTTGGGACCCTTTGAGGGCTTGTTGGACTGTATATTTTTAAGTTGATTAAGTTGGGGCCCCAGAAAGTGTTGCCAGGGCTACATAAGGGCGCCTCAGAGGGGAAGCAGCTAGGCTTCAGAGGGGAAGTACCAGGCTTCAGAGGGAAATTCGGAAAGGTGACAGACTCATCAATATTCAAGCTCCACGAGGGGAGATGTGGTATGAGGGAACGTTTAATCCCGGTGCCGACCTCAGTCTAACTCAATATTTGTGTAATGTGCGATATGAGAGAGAGAGAGAGAGAGAGAGAGAGAGAGAGAGAGAGAGAGAGAGAGAGAGAGAGAGAGAGAGAGAGAGAGAGAGAGAATGTCTGACCATGGTTGAAGTCCTATAAATCAATCATAACTGGAGTTCAGGGTTTTAATCAACTCTTAATTTCCATACACTGAGAGGAATAGAATATCTGTGAGTGAGTATACCCTACAACCTGTCCTCAGGGATGGGATCCGCTCAAGGGAATGGATTGGGATCAAATAATTAATGCTATTGTCTACTCTCTATCCATGGTTAGGTTAGATCCAGGTTACTTTAGGTTAAGGTTAGGTTTTATTACGATTGGTGTATGTGTATACAGTGTATTATTGACGATAATGTAAAAATTCAATTCGAAAACTATTTGTGCCTGAGAATTCTGTTTACAAAACCAAATTCTTCAAAGAAAACGTTTTCAGCATTGACTACTTATATTTTAAACCAACAATTTAAAATACAATACTGATATAACTTGAGAATATTCTCTGTTTACGACAAAGTTCCTTTGCCAGTTTATATGTAGACCTATTACAAGAACCATAATATGCTTTCAGACCATCACAAATATCTAGAGATATTTGATAGAGAGAGATCTCTCTCTCTCCCTCTCTCAGTCTCTCTCTCAATCTCTCTGTCTCCTCTCTCTCTTTCTCTCTCTCTCTCTCTTTCATTTTCCCTGAAATGAATTTTCCCTTTCATTTTTCATTCAATTTAAAATAACTGATCACCATTAAAAAAACACTCACATTCTCTCGGCCATAAAAATTAGTTTTGGCCAGATGGCCTCCGAAATAGTTAGCATAAAGTCATTAGGGCGATAATGGAGTGAAAGAGAACGCTTATATGAACAAAGTAAAACACTACAGCGAGCTAAAGCAATCTATCAGATGCCGGGCATTGTTGTCGAACACAAATGTAGCCCCCCCCCCCCACAGTGACGATAGATAAGCACAGTGACGATAGATAGGTCCAAGTCCACACATGCAGCTATTGAAGCGACTGTCGCCGTGTGTTGGAAAGTGATAGATTAATGCAAACTATTAATTATTGGAATATGAAGGTCGGCGTTCAATCCCCGACCGTCCACAAGTGGTTGGGCACCATTCCTTCTCCCCCGTCCCATCCCAAATCCTGATCCTGACCCCCTTTCCCAGTGCTATATAGTCGTGATGGCTTGACCCCCTTCTAGCCTTCCCCCCCCTGATAGTTCCCCCTTCTAGCCTCCCCTAGTAACCCCCTCCCCATCACCCCCCCCCAACGTCTTCAATTCCTTCCAAATGCTAGACTTCGCCTCATTTCCTACTCTGCTCAAACGTACAGGGCAGCTCTTCCCGCTGATATTTTAGCGCTAATGTCCCATTACTCTTTGGAATGCCTTCCTTAAGTACTCGTGTCTATCTCTCTCTCTCTCTCTCTCTCTCTCTCTCTCTCTGTCTCTCTGTCTCCCTGTCTCAGTCTCCCTGTCTCAGTCTCTCAGTCTCTGTCTCTCAGTCTCTCTCTCTCTCTCTCTCTCTCTCTCTCTCTCTCTCTCTCCCTGTCTCAGTCTCCTTGTCTCAGTCTCCCTCTCTCAGTCTCTCAGTCTCTCTCTCTCTCTCTCTCTCTCTCTCTCTCTCTCTCTCTCTCTCTCTCTCTCTCTCTCTCTCTCTCTCTCTCTCTCTCTCTCTCTCTGTCTCAGTCTCCTTGTCTCAGTCTCTCTCTCTCTCTCTCTCTCTCTCTCTCTCTCTCTCTCTCTCTCTCTCTCTCTCTCTCTCTCTCTCTCTTCTCAGTCTCCCTGTCTCAGTCTCCCTGTCTCAGTCTCCCTCTCTCAGTCTCCCTCTCTCAGTCTCTCTCTCTCAGTCTCTCTCTCTCTCTCTCTCTCTCTCTCTCTCTCTCTCTCTCTCTCTCTCTCTCTCTCTCTCTCTCTCTCTCTCTCATATAGGAAGATATAAATAGCCTAAGCTACTCCATCCATTTCAAATATATCTTATTGCCTCAATAAACGTACTTATACTTTAATATTATAGATGTATTCCGTCCGCCTGTCTTTGCATAAACATTTGTCTTGTAAATAGTGGGTTCCAGTCTGAACCCGTGTACTCACCTAGTTGCGCGTGCGGGGGGGTTGAGCTCTGGCTCTTTGGGCCCGCCTGTATGCATGAAACAATGTTAATGCATGTATTTACGTGGGTATGAATGTGGATGAGTTGGTTATCCAGCCATTAACCTGTTCATACATTTATTCATCAGTTCATTTATCCATCCAAAAAGGTCATTTGTACTCCACTAGTTGATTCATCCTTCCACCAGTTCATTCATCCTTCCACCAATTCATTCATCCTTCCACCAGTTCATTCATCCTTCCTCTAATTCATTCACCCAATAGTTCATTCATTCTTCCAATAATTCATTCATTCTTCCACCAGTTCATTCATGATGTTCGTCAGTTAGTCAGGTTAAGCACCGTTAGGACTGGGCTGCTTCTGGAAGGGTGCCAGCGCGGACAACGACACTCTTTCCTAGAAAGACATTGGAGATCGTTATAGGGGACAGGAAGCCTGGCAGGCCCTTTTAAGACTTTTTGGCAAGCAGTTCCATCTCCTGCAATTAAAAGACTTAACACTTGCTCTCACCACCATTTTTCCTTGTGAAGAGAAGGAGGGAATGTTGGTGTAGGTGGATGTAACGGCAGCTTTACTACTTGTTAAGGGAGAATAACATTGTTGGAGTGTCGTGGTTCTTTAAGATTCGCTACTTGGAACAAAAAAACTCCAAGCAGCACGGGCTATGGTGAGCCCCATAGTGTTGAAGTGTCGCTCCACCAGCACCTTATGACCGCCTTCTTGATGATTGGTGACATCACTCTCTGTGACTTTGTGCTCAAACGTCTTTACAAACCTTTTATATACTGCGAAAAAGCTGGATTTTTAATTGTGTGTGTGTGTATTCACCTAGTTGTTGTGCTTATTGGGGTTGAGCTCTGGCTCTTTGATCCCGCTTCTCAACTGTCAATCAACTGATGTACAGGTTCCTGAGCCTATTGGGATCCATCATATCTACGCTTGAAACTGTGTATGGAGTCAGCCTCCACCACATCACTTCCTAGTGCATTCCATTTGTCTACTACTCTGACAATAAACAAATTCTTTCTAACGTCTCTATGGCTCATTTGGGTACTCAATTTCCACCTGTGTCCCCCCTAAAACGTGCGCCCCTTGTGTTAAATAAATGTATGTGTGTGTGTGTGTGTGTGTACTCACCTATATGTACTCACCTATATGTGCTTGCAGGATCGAGCATTGACTCTTGGATCCCGCCTTTCTAGCTATCGGTTGTTTACAGCAATGACTCCTGTCCCATTTCCCTATCATACCTAGTTTTAAAAGTATGAATAGTATTTGCTTCCACAACCTGTTCCCCAAGTGCATTCCATTTTTCTACTACTCTCACGCTAAAAGAAAACTTCCTAACATCTCTGTGACTCATCTGAGTTTCCAGTTTCCACCCATGTCCCCTCGTTCTGTTATTATTACGTGTGAACATTTGATCTATTTCCACTTTGTCAATTCCCCTGAGTATTTTATATGTCCCTATCATATCTCCTCTCTCCCTTCTTTTCTCTAGTGTCGTAAGGTTCAGTTCCTTCAGCCGCTCTTCATATCCCATCCCTCGTAGCTCTGGGACAAGCCTCGTCGCAAACCTCTGAACCTTCTCCAGTTTCTTTATGTGTTTCTTCAGGTGGGGGCTCCATGATGGCGCGGCATACTCTAAGACGGGTCTCACGTAGGCAGTGTAAAGCGCCCTAAAAGCTTCCTCATTTAGGTTTCTGAATGAAGTTCTAATTTTCGCCAGTGTAGAGTACGCTGCTGTCGTTATCCTATTTATATGTGCCTCAGGAGTTAGATTAGGTGTCACATCCACTCCCAGGTCTCTTTCTCGAATCGTTACAGGTAGGCTGTTCCCCTTCATTGTGTACTGTTCCTTTGGTCTCCTGTCACCTGATCCCATTTCCATAACTTTACATTTACTGGTGTTAAACTCCAGTAGCCATTTCTCTGACCATCTCTGCAGCCTGTTTAAGTCCTCTTGGAGGATCCTACAATCCTCGTCTGTCACAACTCTTCTCATTAATTTTGCGTCATCTGCAAACATCGACATGTATGATTCCACTCCTGTAAACATATCATTTACGTAAATTAGAAAGAGGATTGGTCCCAGCACCGATCCTTGAGGTACTCCACTTGTTACTGTTCGCCAGTCCGACTTTTCGCCCCTTACCATTACCCTCTGGCTCCTTCCTGTTAGGTAGTTCTTCACCCATACTAGGGCCTTTCCGCTTACTCCTGCCTGCCTCTCAAGTTTGTATAGCAGTCTCATGTGCGGTACCGTATCAAAGGCCTTTTGGCAGTCAAGAAATATGCAGTCTGCCCAGCCTTCTCTGTCCTGCCTTATCCTTGTTACTTTATCATAGAATTCTAAAAGGTTTGTTAGGCATGATTTCCCTGTCCAGAACCCATGTTGGTGCTTGTTTACAAACCCAATGCTCTCCAGGTGCTCAACAAGTCTTAGCCTAATTATTCTTTCAAGTATTTTGCAGGGGATGCTTGTCAGTGATACGGGTCTGTAGTTAAGTGCCTCCTCCCTATCCCCCTTTTTGAAAATCGGTACGACATTTGCCTCCTTCCAGCAACTGGGCAATTCTCCCGACATAAGTGACTCATTGAAGATCATTGCCAGAGGCACGCTGAGAGCCTGCGCTGCCTCTTTAAGTATCCACGGTGATACTTTGTCTGGTCCAACAGCTTTATTTGCATCCAGTGTTGTCAACTGTTTCATTACATCCTCTGCTGTCACCTCTATATCTGATAGTCTTTCATCTTGGGTAATCTCTTCTAACAATGGGAGCTGCTCAGGCTCGGTAGTGAACACTCCATGGAATTTTGCATTCAGTACCTCGCAGATTTCCTTGTCGCTTTCTGTATAAGCCCCTTCTGTTTTCCTCAGTCTTGTCACTTGGTCATTTACCGACATCTTCCTTCTTATATGGCTATGTAGTAATTTTGGTTGCTTTTCGCTTTGACTGCAATATCGTTCTCATAATTTCTTTCCGACACTCGTCTTATGTTAATGTAATCATTCCTAGCTCTGTTACATCTAATCCTGTTGTCCTCTGTCCTTTGTCTTCTGTACTTCCTCCACTCCCTCCTGCTTCTCACCTTTGCTTCCTGACACTGTCTATTAAACCATGGGTTATTATATTCCCTCCTGCTTTTTTCCTTTATTGTTGGAATAAATCTATCTTCAGCCTCCTTGCATTTCAATATGACTTGGTTCATCATACCTTGCACTGTTTTTCCTCTAAGTTCTTCCTCCCACTGCACTTCTCCCAGGTAGTCCCTTATCCTTCTGTAGTCCCCTTTGTGTGTGTGTGTGTGTGTGTGTGTGTGTGTGTGTGTGTGTGTGTGTGTGTGTGTGTGTGTGTGTGTGTGTGTGTGTGTTTGTAAATACTTTCCTGCTTCCAAGATTGCCAAAGTAGTACAATCTGAGCCACAGTTATATCTTAAGACAATACTTCAACAAGTAGCCGCAAAATTTGTGTTATTCCTATCTGCTTGAGTTGGATAACTCCTTATTAAACCACAAAATTTAACCAATGTCTAAAATTTTCAGGCTAAACACTAAACTTCTTAATACAGAATATTGATTACTGTCTCGTGGTTGACTTCGCTCAGGTCGAAGCTGGAGGGGCGTGAGGAATCAGCTCAGAGAGGAGGCAGACCGCAGTCTGGAACTTCGAGTCAGAACGACGCCAGAGAGGAGGAAGAAGAGGTAGAACAAGAAGAAACAACAGTGGATTCTGAAGATGTAGGCGTTAAAAGTTACGAGAAGCCAACGTCCGCCATCAGCTATCAAGATTCAAGGGCTTCGAACACAAGGGAAGCAGGTGACAGTATCTTTCTAAGGCAAGCCCTGTGTTTCTGACTTTTGCAAGAGGCGTCCAGTTCGTGACCCCATGAGCGGGCGACGGGCCGCTTCGTCCTGCTGAAGACAGAGACCAGCGACAGTGATTGCGGACATCGCGCGCTTAAGTCAACGACAAAGGACAACGGAGCGACATGTCTCGTTCAGATGGCCCACCTGAGGCTCGCTGGAAACTCCTGGAAGGAGAAAACCAGGGTCGGAGAGGCTCTCCAGGTGAGGCTTGGGATAGAGGCTCTCGAGATGAGACTTGGGATAGAGGCTCTCTACGTGAGGCTTGGGATAGCTGGTTAGGTTAACAGATATGACTTGCATGTACCAAGATAAGCGAGGCTTCAGATAAGAATTGGGATGAGGAGCGAAGCTTAGAACATTAGCCATTCAAGTCACTATAAATATAGCCATTTTACGAATAAATGTTTTTGAATTCGTATACATGTAAACATCAGTTCATTTATGAAAACGATTATAAATTAAAAAAAATCAATTCCAGCAGGTGGGGAGTAGGATAGCAAACTAAGCTCAAGAAATCATCTGAGGCTCTGGATATCATAGAAGAAAATTAGTCCCAGATTGGGGTCATGATATCAAGTAGGAATTAAGATAGCAGGCGAGATTTTTATAAACAGGGAGAGGTTTATAAACTAGAATACTGCAATTCAAATCCCATAAGGTGTTTTAATATAAATGTGCTTTAAAAAAAGTATATTGTACTTTTACCACTTAGCATTAACCACTGGGTCTTAACCACTGGATCTTAACCAACTGGATCCAGCCTTAACTACTCAGCCTTAACCCACTGATATAACTACTAACTACCAGTATAACTACTCAGCCTTAACCCACTGTCTCATCTCAAAAGTTTCGCTGATGTTCCATATTTTGCGTCTTTAATGTTGAAATTCCTCTTATATCTTTCCCCTCTTCTGGCAGACCTGCTCGGGCCGCCTGCTGGAGGCACCCCACAGAGTGGCACGCCCCTTCTGGGCTTCCGACGCCCACCACGCCCCTCCACGCCCTCCACGGCGCCCGTGTCACCCACGCACACCAACACCCCTCCACATTCCGGAACACCCCAACCGGAGGACTCCGTGCCTTCCTCAAGGAGGTAAGTGCTGCTGCTGCTGCCTTCAGCGTCGCCAGTAGCCGTGTCAATATATATATTTGGGTTCTTATCTGTTTCTAATCTACATTCTCTTTCTTTTGTTCTCCCTTACACCTGTCATCCTTGTCTTCCTAATGCCCTATTTTCCTTCTTTAACTTTATCCTTATCCCTAATCTTCTTCCGCCCTTATCCCTATAGATTAAGTCTCCATTATCATCCCTCACGCCTGTGGGAAAATTTCCACTGTACTAATATATATTAATACATTAATTGATGTATTTATGTAGGTACTTGCTGCATTATACATCCTACATCTACATGCCTAAGTTACGTACGCCGCTCATATGAGACTACCAAGCCAAGCTACAACAGACTGCTTGGTCAGCAGTATATGACGACTAATGACGTCACTACTCATTCTTAGCTAAGAATTTAATCATATCAAAATTACACTTAACGATCATTAAATCACTATTACCTTAATCCTACAAATTAATTTGATCTCGAATTAATCGTTTACAATTGTAGAAATAACACACAAATACACTCCCAGGTAACCCCTCAGCAGAGGGCTGGGGGCTAGAGGCTAGGGAGAGAACAACCACCTGTGTGGGTCACATATACCTGTTATAGACTGGGATATCAACTTTAACCACGACCATCTAAATCAGCGTATATCAAACACATCTTTCAGTGTAGAACATTCTTAAGAGCATTTAAGTCTCACACAGTGTAAACACAACGTAAATACACTGTAAACACAGTGTAAACACAGTGTAAACACAAACTAGGCCGCGATGATGTACCAGAACTAACGCCACTGCACTATCTACTACAATCCCTACAAGGCAGAAATATCAGTCTACACTTCAACATACTGAGCTCAACATCTCAAGGGATCCTCAGTCAGGCTCCGGTCGTCAGTTAGGATAAGTTTAATGTGCACTTTTTACCTTGTTAGCCAATTAAGGTTTAATCGTGTCATTAACAATTTCATTATTAATAACTTAAATGATATAAAGTGGGGAAAGCCCCAGTTAAATAGTAAGTCTATAACTTTATATTTTTATTAATCTATAAATCATATCCATATATATTCATATAAATTATATCAATTTGATTAAATAATATCTATCATAGTATAAATAGTAAATAATTGATCAATATAAATCTTGATCTAATCTTGATTAAATTCAATTATATCTATCAATATCAATCAATTAAATCTCTTAAACAGTTATCACTCATGTAATAATATTCAATTTAAGATAACTAATTCATCTTCGCCAATAACAGGCAAATGATGCTAATGATATATCACTAATAACTATCATTGTTGCAATTCCTCTTTGTTAAACGCAGATATATGACAATATTAACGAGAGATAGGCTAGAGATGTTCAACAAAAATCAAGTTGATTTTGTCAGCCAGTTCAACCAGCAATAGTTATTGTCGCTGCAGGCGCTGAGTCACAATAACGGGGCTGAAGTATGTTGACCAGACCACACACTAGAAGGTGAAGGGACGACGACGACAACGTTTCGGTCCGTCCTGGACCATTCTCAATCGACTTGAGAATGGTCCAGGACGGGCCGAAACGTCGTCGTCGTCGTCCCTTCACCTTCTAGTGTGTGGTCTGGTCAACAGTTATTGTTGCTGTTTTCCATTTATTCATTCCAATCTTTTAATGTGTGGAAAATATCAACAGGTACTTGAAGTTCCTTCTTCAACCTGTACCCAGGAAATCGAGAGGAATGTTTGGCTGAACTTCTATGGCAGCTAAGACTCCCTTTCTTTTGTTTTGCATGCTATAGTTGCATTTTTTTAGTCTTTTTATTTATTTAGAATCCCACACAATTGTGGGAGTTTCATAATCAATCACAGGCATTTGTTTTTTGTTTCCCACAAACCTCCTCTCACCATCACCATCTTCCTCCTTACCTTTCCTCCCTCTCTGTCTCCTTATCTTCCTCTAGTTGATCTCCTTTCCCATCCCATCCTTCCCCCTTTCCCCTTATATATCAATCGTCCTGGATACATCATTTAATCTCCCCTCACCTGTATCACCTATCTCCTTGTCCCCCTCCGTGCAGGTCATCGCTTCTGCCGCCCTGTACGGACTCCCGCCGGGGCTCTCAGACCAAGAAGGCGCTGACGGGGCTCGTCAAGGACGCCAGGAAGGGCATCAAGGACGTCAAGGACACCTCCATGAAGGCTGGCCAGAAGGTAAGTCTCGGGTCAAGAGAGGGACGACTGAGGGTAAGAGGGGGAATTATAGCTTGGTGGGATGAGGGGTAAGTGTATTGTTTATGAGGATTTAGGGAAGGGGGAAGGCGGAGTTAGGAACAGGTGGAGGTAAAACATGGCTTCCCTTCTCGTGTTTTTACGTGGAAGAAACTCAAGGATGGGAGGGGATAAATGGCCCCCCAGACATGAGGGAAGAGATAAAGAATGGTGTAAGATCAAGAAAATAATCACAATGGGTGTAGTTACACTACGATTCTTGCCTGTCTGGCCATACTGTAGGTCCAGACAGCCTACCTCGAGTGCCTGGCACTACTGTAGGTCCAAACACTACTGAGGGCCAAGCTGCTACTTACTACCATTTCCTGTATAACCAGTAACTCGTGTGAGTGCCAATATATATATGTGCAATATTGACGGCGAGATTAAACTATCATTCGAGGATAATTATGTCCTTAAACCTAACTAACAGCAAGGGTGAAGGCTGTTATAATTATCACGCCAGACAACTATCATGCCAACACATTTAAACATAATCCACAATTTCTCAGCTGGTCTAGTGTGTGTGTGTGTGTGTGTGTGTGTGTGAGTGTGTACTCACCTAGTTGTACTCACCTAGTTGTGTTTGCGGGGGTTGAGCTCTGGCTCTTTGGTCCCGCCTCTCAACCGTCAATCAACAGGTGTACAGATTCCTGAGCCTATCGGGCTCTGTCATATCTACACTTGAAACTGTGTATGGAGTCAGCCTCCACCACATCACTTCCTAATGTGTGTGTGTGTGTGTGTGTGCTTACACCAGCGACCAGAGACATTGTGTTCCCCGGAAGGTTTGTCTCGGCGCCACAGCTCCGGCCTAATTCTACCCAATAGAGGCCTCGCTTCATGCAGGTCGGCGTTCAATCCCCGATCGTCCACAAGTGGTTGGGCACCATTCCTTTCCCCCCGTCCCGTCCCATCCAAAATGCGTACCCTAACTCTCTTCCAAGTGCTATATAGTCGTAATGGCTTGGCACTTTCCCCCCTTTGATAGTTCCCTTCCCTCCCTACGTGAGAATAGTTCGTCTGAGCTTGTTTGTTTTGTTTGTTTACTGACTTTTCTTAGGTTGGGATTAATTACCAAACATGGCAACAATTAATTACCAAACATGGCAACAATTAATTACCAAACATGGCAACAATTAATTACCAAACATGGCAACAATCAATTACCAAACATGGCAACAATTAATTACCAAACATGGCAACAATTAATTCCCAAATATGGCAACAATTAATTGCCAAATATGGCAACAATTAATTGCCAAATATGGCAACAATTAATTACCAAACATGGCAACAATTAATTACCAAATATGGCAACAATTAATCACCAAATATGGCAACAATTAATTACCAAACATGGCAACAATTAATTACCAAACATGGCAACAATTAATCACCAAATATGGCAACAATTAATTACCAAACATGGCAACAATTAATTACCAAACATGGCAACAATTAATCACCAAATATGGCAACAATTAATTACCAAACATGGCAACAATTAATCACCAAATATGGCAACAATTAATTACCAAACATGGCAACAATTAATCACCAAATATGGCAATTGAACACTCAATTAATTGCCAAATATGGCAAGAATGGAAATTGAGGGGAAATTGTTACGTACCTTAAAAATTGGTCCATTTCTGTCCCCTCGATGAACCATACCTGAAATGGCGCGAAAACTAATTATTTACATTCCATTTGACTTATTTTTTATGCATTAAACTAAACCACATGGATAATCATATTTTAATCCAGATATGTAAGAAGCGTTTGTGCCCATTTGCAGTCCCCGTGGCGTAGTGGTAACACTCTCACTCGGCGCTTCGCAAGCGCTTTGGTCTGGGTTCGTATCCTGCCCGGGGAGGATTGACTGGGCGTCAGTCCATAACTGTACGTCTCTGTTCACCCAGCAGTGAATGGGTACCTGGTTGTTAAATGATTTGGCGGGTCGTATTCCAGGGAAAAATTAGGATTAATTAGGACCTGCCCGAAATGCTATGCTTGCTAGTGGCTGTACAAGAATTTAAGAATTCTTGCATATATTAAAAAAAAAATTGAAGGTGCCGCTTGAGCATCGAGGTGCTGCTTATCTTGGCGAAGGACGAGGGCCATGGAGAGTCTCAAAAAAAAAGTTAATTGTTTGATAGTTGAGAGGCCAGAGCCAAAGAGCCAGAGCTCAACCCCCGCAATCACAACTAGGTGAGTACAACAACTAGGTGCGTACACACATAGATTGTGTTAGAAAGGCGGGGTCCAAGAGCTAAATAGCTCGATTCTGCAGGCATAAATAGTAAAAAAAAAATAATAAAAATAGTGGTAGACGGTTGGAACAAGTTAAGTGAGAAGGTGGTGGAGGCCAAGACCGTCAGTAGTTTCAAAGTGTTATACGACAAAGAGTGCTGGGAAGACGGGACACCTCGAGCGTAGCTCTCATCCTGTAACTATACTTAGGTAATTACACACAGACAATCGAGTTGTTTGTGGCTGTATGGAAACAACAGACACAGCTAAAGCTGAAACCTCGTCTCAGCTTGGAAGATGAAGGTCTTTACCAAGAGCGGGAACAATTCCACAGCTATACATATATATATATATATATATATATATATATATATATATATATATATATATATATATATATATATATATATATATATACATATATGTAATATATGTATGAGTATGTGTACATGTATATATAACATTAATAATTTTGTAACTAGCGTCAAAAGACTGTTATTTCCTTAGCTAAACGAACTAGAGGGTTCAGTTCCTGAACCTTTATGTGCCTCTGTAATCCTTTACACCACCGCCCACGGGATGGGTATGGGGTGCATAATAAAGAAATTGAATTCCACCACCCACCCTGAAACAGTGACGATGAATGCAACTCGTGAAATTGAAGAGAAGTTGACTATCTTGCCACTTTTTCACCCTTGGAAAAAAACCCAGACGGAATTCTGACTGCCGACACATAAGCCAAGTTCTGATTAACGATCGCGGTCTCAGCCCCCAGAGGAATATTTCCGGAGCTTGTCTGAGAAATGAGGAAAGTGTCTGGGTAGGAGAAGTCAGCAGCGTAAAATGTTTTAATTGTTATATAGACGCCTTAAGGAGCATTTACACACCGATGTGCTGAGAGCCGGAAGAGGGTGTTAATTAGTCTTATCACGATATATTGTCAGTAGTGGAGGACTGGTGACCTTGTTGTCAGTAGTGGAGGACTGGTGACCTTGTTGTCAGTAGTGGAGGACTGGTGACCTGTTGTCAGTAGTGGAGGACTGGTGACCTTGTTGTCAGTAGTGGAGGACTGGTGACCTGTTGTCAGTAGTGGAGGACTGGTGACCTTGTTGTCAGTAGTGGAGGACTGGTGACCTTGTTGTCAGTAGTGGAGGACTGGTGACCTTGTTGACAGTAGTGGAGGACTAGTGACCTTGTTGACAGTAGTGGAGGACTAGTGACCTTGTTGTCAGTAGTGGAGGACTGGTGACCTGTTGACAGTAGTGGAGGACTGGTGATCTGTTGTCAGTAGTGGAGGACTGGTGACCTTGTTGTCAGTAGTGGAGGACTGGTGACCTGTTGTCAGTAGTGGAGGACTGGTGACCTGTTAAGAAGTGCTATGTTGTTGACCTGTTAAAAAGTGCTGTCAAGAAGTTTTGCTATGCTTTACCACTCTCCATGGTGCACAACATGTATCAGGCAACAGTAGAACTACCAAAATGTTGGAAGACGGCTACTGTATTCCTGATAGACACAAAGGCAGACACACAGGAGGCGCTGAACTACAAACCAGAGGTCCTAAACTACATTCCAAAACAACTGATGGAGATTGTGAGTAAAAAACTAGTAGAACATCAGGAGAAAAAGAAACTTTGTAACACATCACCAGCATGGGTTCAGGGACGGCAAATTTGGCCTCTCAGGTTTAATAGAATTCTCTAATCAGGCGACAAATCTTAGACAGGAAGGAGAAGGAAGGGTAGACTGCATATTTTTGGATCGTCAGGAGGCGTTTGAAGCTAAGTGGAGAAAGCAAGAGGCCAGACACAAGGTACTAAATGGGATGGAATCCTCCATGGGATGGAAAAGGTTGGTATCACATCTCACCTGTATCCTGAAGGTGGAAATCACAGTCACATTGAACACCTTTATGCTATATGTGACTTTCTCGAGAACTTCACTCCATAATTGACCAGTTAAAGGTTTTAGTGCACAGTTGGCTATTGATTCATCCTGTTCCCTTCTTGAAATGGGGCTGGGAGATAAACAGAGAAAGAGATGGAGAAAGTAATAGAGAAGTAGAGAGGATGAAGGAAGATAGAGAGAGACATAGGGAGGGTGTTTTGGGAGGAGAAGAAGAGACCAATTCATCACAGCCTAAGTCAGGCTCCAACAATTAATCATGAAAGTCAAACTTATCACCGTATCTGCTTTGTACCTTTTCCTCAGCAAACCTTTACATGCACGGAGCTCAATTTCCCTCTCCCATCCTCTCCTCTCCTATTTATACCTCCTCTCTCTCTCTCTCTCCCCCACACACACCATCACGAGACTGCTCGTAACTTCCCAGTAACGAACGATCGAGCCACGAAGCGTCTCGCTCGCTACTGGCGCATGACAACCTGTAGTTATGAAGCAACTTGCAAACTATAAAGTAGATATATATATAGAACGATGTATTAAACCTTGCCAGGTTGCAAGGGAAGCATATCTGTGCCGCAGAGGGGAGGGAAGGAGAGAGAGAGAGAGAGAGAGAGAGAGAGAGAGAGAGAGAGAGAGAGAGAGAGAGAGAGAGAGAGAGAGAGAGAGAGAGAGAGAGAGAGAGAGAGAGAGGTCTTGGTGTTCCAAAGGCTGCGGTCTCTGTGTCACATAGGATGTCTCTGTTGCTGGACACGAGAGCGCCTGTTGCATTAAATGCAATATGTTGC